ACCAGGGACAACTTGACAATTCTGGTAAGAGGGAGGGATTAATGAACATGAAATGTTCACCATCATTCAAACATAGATTGAAGTAATCCAGAAGTAATTGCTGGAAATACCAAACTAGATACTTCTGACCCATCCAACTGACATCTGAAAACCTAATGTCAGGTTCAGAAGCCTGTGTTAAGTCTTGGAGAAGTGGAAGCTGGCAGAGGCAGAAGAAAATGTCTCATGGCCGCCCCTGCCCCATTCCTCCAGTGGTCCACCCATCTAGGGCTGTCTTACTGAAGTCATAATGGGTGAGCTAGGAGACCTGATGCTTGTTTTCAGTAAAATGTGCTCAGTTCAAATTGACCAAAGTGGAGTGCAAAGTCTGTCTGTCCTCAGTGGTGGCCACTGGTTTGTGATCATATTTGCTAAGCTAGGCTTTTACTTTAGTTTGGGGCTGCAGTCTTTTCTCACAGAGTGGCTATTCAGACTTTAAGAGTAGTCAGTTCTCCCTTCCATGTTCATGGATAGTGGAGGGGCAGAAACCCAGAACCCTGCTCCTGCTTGGCTAGAGTGGGATTTCAAGCTCTCCAAGGGCAGTGGTGGGTGTGTTGTTTGGGCTTGCAGGGGAGTCTCTGTTTCTGGGCTTCATTAAGAGTGGAGAAGGGCACATACTCTGAACATAGGTCACTTGTAACCTCCCCCCTCTTTCTTAACATTTGCAGAATCTGCCTCTGAGTAGGGTTAGCAGAAGGGTGAGCCTCCGAGAAGGGCAATTGATGTTACACCCCCGCAGCTGGGAAGGCCCCCCACCCATGTGGACCTGAAAGCCCATGCCTTTTTCCCAGCCTCCTGTTTGGCCATTTAAAACAAGAAAGATACCTACTCTTAGCTCAAATATTTCTGACAACATGTGCATTTATTTGTATTAGAAGTACAAACGTAGGAATCCAAATACAAATACAGAGGGCAGCCTAGCCCACCCCGAGCAGGGCACAGTGGGGGCCAGACTGGCGAAGCAAGGTGTAGTGCCTCCTGTGTCTCAGTGCTGCTCGCATTGCCAAGGCATGTTGGACACAAGCGTGCCCACTTGTCTCTAGGAAATCACGAGCCGCACAACTAGCAAGGAGTCACACCCTTGACAGAGAGGAGGAGGACGGCAGGACCTCGGACCCAGAGCCAGAGCCTTCAGGCCCTCATGGGATGACAGGAAAGCAGGGGCTGTTGGATGCCACTTGATGAAGGCCGGGACCCTGGTTTGGCCTCCAACCCACTTGCCTAGAAAGGGACCAGAGCACACATTTGGCCAGGGCAGGTCACCGCTCAGGACCAGGTCTCTACACTGAGCCTCTACACTGAGTGCTCAGTGCGGATTCCAAGAAACCCTCAGATTCTGAAGTCCTTCTCCTCTCTCCCACTGGGAGGAGATGAATTCACAGGCAGGAAGGAGTCCATCCAGGCAGAGAGCAGATGTGCACAGCTTCTCTGCCTTTCTGCCTGGAGCATCTCCTAGGGCACCTGACGGTTTTCCTTTATACACATGTTTCAAAAAGAGACTACTACACATTATGGTTAACTCATACATGTGGCACAGTTCACGGTAAGCCTGGTACTTTCTCACAATATACATGGAATTTGTGTCCTAAACAAGTGTTACAGTGGCTATTTGTCACCTATATCTTGAAGAACTACTTTTGGCTTATCAGTTAAAATAGACCACTATGCACAAATGACCAAGAAATAACTTAAGTGTGCCCTAGTGAAAATGTGATGGTCTGCTCTCAGCAGAAGGCAGCCTCATTTGGACTTCAAAACAATTTCTGATCAGTTATTTAAGCTTGATTTTCTTTTTAAAGAAAAAATGTGGCCCCACATTTTCAGGAAATAAAAAGATAGTTCTTCTATCTAGTTCTTTCTTTTTTTCCCTAAAAAGAAACAGCTTGAGAAACTCATATGCTTTCATTAGGAAACTGTGCTCCTTTCTACTTGCTTCAACTATGTTTGGGGTGGTAGGTAGAATAATACACACGCTAATAAGTTGTTCCAGTTTTACCACTGTACATAAGGATATAAACACACACATCACTGCATGTAAACACAAGATGGCCCCTTACTCCTCACAAAACAATCCAGGCCTAATCCCTGAAAACTGTTGCTACTTAAGAACTTTCCAAAGAGAATTCATTCATGAGGAATGAATCTCTCACTGAGTTCAGGAGCTGCTCATAAGGAAAAACATGTCATGTGGTTGCACAAAAATATGCTTGTAAACGTTGTCCACTAGCACAAAATTAGTCATTTTGAAGGTCAAGAATGATCAAAAATTTCCTTTTAAATATTTTCATAGAAGTAGTCTAAACAGCTAATATAATAACAAATACTGTAAATTCCATTAATATGTTTTACTTGTGTCAGTTTCTATCCAAAAGTAAAAATCTCAAGATATATTAGAAAGAGTCAAAGGTTAGACCCAAATTATATAATAAGAAGCATATTGATTGTCTGTTGGGGCTAACAGAAATCTGAAGTGTACACAGAAGCATTCATTTTAGGGAAAAATGATCGATAGTTCTTAGCTACTTTAAATGCTAACTTCTTGAAAAGGAATAAAAAACATCAAGCACCATAAAAACAACAAAAAACAAACCAAAACAAAATAAGAAACAAAAACACAAACCCACAAGCCACCAAAAAATAATTAGGTGGAATATTCTCCTAAGGAATAATTTCAAATTCTGATTGAGGCAGGGTAGACAAACAGGACCTCTGGGACAAAGTACAGTTCTGGAAATGTTCTAGGAAAGCAAATATTTGAACTGTGTATTTAATATTTAAACTGAAATAAAACTTTTTTTATTTTCTATTTTTAAGTTCTAATTTTGTTTTTGTTTGGAAAAGACATTAAACTTTCATGTTGATTGAATAGCTAAGCACTAGGATGCATGCATGTATGCTCAGCAGTGTCTGACTCTTTGTGACCCATGGACTGTAGCCCACCAGGCTCCTCTGTCCATGGGATTCTCCAGGCAAGAATACTGGAGTGGGTTGACATTTCCTATTCCAAAGGGATCTTCCTGACCCAGAGATCAAACCTGTGTCTCTTGTGTCTCCTGCATTGACAGGCAGATTCTTTATAACTGTGAAACCCAGGAAGCCCCAAAGCACTAGTAAGAGTCTGTGTGTGTGTGTGTGTGTGTTCAGCCATGTCTGACTCTTTGTGACTCATGGACAGGTTCCTCTGTCCATGGACATCTCCAGGCAAGAATACTGGAGTGGGTTGCCGTTTCCTTCTCCAGAGAATCTTCCTGACCCCAGGGTCAAACTCATATCTCTTGCATCTCCTGCATTGGCTGGCAGGTTCCTTACCACAAGTGCCACCTCAGAAGGCCAGCACTAGTGTGGAACCTGAAAAGGATACATAGATGATGATGATGATGGTGGTGGTGGTGGAGGTGGTGGAGGTGGTGGTGATGATGACGGTTATGATAATAGTGATGATGATGATGATGATGACAATGCAGCATGATTTATTTCTTCTAAAATCCTATCATATTCAGCTGCCAACTTAAAAATTTGGTCAGCAAGTTAAAAGAGCTTTCTGTCAATATTTATCATTTAATTACATTGAAAGTCACTTCAGAATGAAGTTTTTCTTTTTTGTTTAAACTCTCTGTAGCTTCCAGGGCCACCCTGCCCTAACCAGTGCATGAACGCAGTGAATGGGGCAGGTTAGCTGATTGGTGGATGCATTGACTGGAACTGCCTCAGCTAGTTAGGGTGATGAGGTGTTCTAATCTCAGCAAAGTGACTGAAGTGCCACTCTGTGTGTTGAGTGGCTTTCACCTGTCAGTTGACAAAGCTGACACCCCAAATCCTTCCTTTTGTAAACAAATAGCCACTGAAAACAAAATCTGCTGTAATAAACAAGAACCAAATCAAAGCGCTCATCATTTGCTCCTAAAAATCAGTCTGGCATTGAATTCTTCCGCTTTCTAATGGAAAATAGGAGCTTTAATACTTTTTGTGGAAAAGTGATTATTGGGAAAAATAAAGAATCCCAAAGAGCTAGAAAAGAAGAAAATATAACAGCCACCTTCTCAGTTGGGGGGCTTCATTATTGGCAATCCATCTTCACTGGGCTTTCCAATCTGCCCAGTTTAAATTGTTCAGCAGTTAACTGTTCTGCAGGGAAGACCATCCTTCCCCGCAGAAACCACTCTCATCCTCACATTGTAGAACAGTCCACTAGGCTGAGAAAATGTTGTGTTGCACTTATAAAGGCAAAAAAATAAAAATAAACAAAACCAAAAAAAACCCCAAGGTGGTAGATGTAGGTGATGATCTGAATAATTCAAGCAAAACGACTTTACATTTTCCTCTCATTACCTGAATGGTAATATGTTGCTTTACGCGTGTGAGTGTACATGTGCATTGTGAGGATGCTCCTGTGTTTTATCTACATAATTGTTTTCTAGCTCATGTTCCTGTATAATACAATTTAAAAAACTGGCTTAGTTAATGCGAAACACTGAAGACTTGTTAGTTAATGTACTACTTTCTTAGGACTGATATAAACTGGTCTAAACTTTGGTTTTTATGTGAGCAGAGTAATGAGATTTAAGATGGTTCATTGACAACATTAAAAACCAAAGCATCATTTAACTAGACACTTTGAAAAGGAAGTAGGAAACATTCTCTTTTGATCTAAATAGAACTAGACTAGGTTTATATCCTGGAATTGCTAAGTTTTAATCAGAAGAAATTGTAAAAGAAGGACTGGGAATGTCTAATGGCTGCTCTTCAAAGATTACCAGATATTTTATTTTAAAAGCCAAAGCTTTATTTTCCATAGATATGACTGGCTAAGTTGTTTACCTATTATCTCAACCCTTATCTCTGTCTTTTATAGTGTTTTATCCCCATAATGATAGAAATCTGTTTTTACAGTAAAAGGTAAGTTAACAAAGAATTTGAGAAGGGATCATTTAGCCTGAACTTTTATTTTTGGTTCTTTGGATATGATTATACAATGTGGCAGTACTGTTAAATTGTGTGAATCTGAAGGTTTTTCACAGGCAAATTTGAGGGGAAAAATGTACAGATTACAAGCTACCTCAGTTTTTGGAAATTTGAAGGGGACTTCAACAGAAAATTTTGAGTTTCACATTACAGTGTGTTTACCATCTGATTCTTTCTTATTTACAGACATCTTTCTGAATATTTTTAAATGTGATGGTGTTCTGAAGTCTAATTGTAAATATTTCAATGTGCATTTACATCAGATTATCCTTATCTCAGGTCATTCACATTTTGTCTTTCTACAGAAATTGAGGATGAAATTTCATATGTATATAAATTTCAGAACACTTCAGACAGTAGCAAGATCATGGAGAGAATTAAAAATGTTTGTATTTTGAGAGCACTGATTTGGTATAGCAAGTATAATGGCATGGAGACTAGTTAGAGTCCTTCAAGTCTTCAAAGGAAATCACAGAAAGTTTTCAGTTATTGGCAGCCAAGATAAAAGTGATAAAAATGAGGTTTGTATTTGTTTTGAGTTGTAGCCCTTTTAATAAAGAATGCCCTGTTGTGGCAAGTATCCACCAATGCAAAATAGGGTTATCAATTACCACTCTTGCTTCCAGAGTGTGATAATTTGCAGAGGAACAAAAAATCTGTCTACACATTTTTACTACAGCAAGCTGTGACTAAGTAAAAAGACTGGTGTGAAGGTTCTAAGTGAACACTCACATCCTATCACAAGCACTAATGTCACTGACTTTTAGATTGGCCCCAATTTCTCATATGTAGCCTGAAAATGCTTTGTCATAAAGGAAAGGCATTTCTTCAATTAAAGAGTCCACAAAAATTGAGTTTTTAACTGATTTGATAACACAGTTAAGGATAAAACTGTTGGGCACATGAAGAAATCTTCACCATTCATAAATGATAAGTAAAATCTGGCCTGAGATATATATGATCACAGGAAATGAAAAATCTACATAATATATGCAATTTAAGATTTATTTGTTACTTTAAGGCATATGCTGGGTAAATTAGGGACAGTATTGACTGGGTCTAGAGTAAGGTATAGCTATATTGTCCTGCTCAGTCATGTTTATGACAGTCTCTGTTGTGGCCTGTGGTATTCAGACTTTGCAGAAACTGAAAATTTCTAAGATCAGAAGATGCATTTTGCTCTAATTCCATTGGTGTGAAATTTCTTTTTTCTCCGTCCAGCCTAGATGCAGCTTAATAGAGCCTGTCATGGTTGTAAGTATGAGCTGTGGTGGTCAGAAATTAGATATTTTTGTCAAAATGTGGAACAGTCATCTCCTTAATTTAGTGTTTCTAAAAGTGAGGAACACAGTAGCACTTTTGGAATGCAGGTCACTCAACTTCCCTACAGCTACCATCCAGCCACCAAATATCATTCCCCATTCTACATGCAAAGCAATCTGGGTAGAGCTGTAAGGATGTAGTATCTGTGAACAGTCTTGCACAATGCTCACCATACATACCCTACTAACCAAGCATACTGGTGAAAGAGAGTCCTTCAGTTAAGAGTGATACATTCCCCTCATACTATCCCAGTGCACATCCTCTTTCTTCTTCCGTAATGTAAACTCATACCTACTTAAAAGTATGCCCCTGAACCCTGCACCTGTGTGAGGTACATGTCAATTTCCTTTATTGTAGACTGGTAAGGTTTATCTGGGGAGCTGGGATCAACAAGAACTTAAATGGGCAAGTTGCAGAGAAGCAGGCATTGGTGTGTTCTCAGGGAATGCTTTCATTCTTTTTAGTAAGATCCTGTAGTGGATAGATGTGCAGAAATCCAGTTTAGGCTCTGTGATCTGTTACACTCTCTTGAGATGAATGTTCTGTTTCATGGAAAAGGAATCATAAACTAGTGTGTTTAAATCAGCAGAATGGTACTGGGAGAGAGAGATTGGTTGGATTCAGAAAACACAGATGATCCTGTACTTATAATTTCATAAGAGTTGCCAATGATGCTCATTTATTGAATGGCCTTGAAACAAGAGGCCTCAGTAAAAAATTTTAAAGGTAAAGTTGGACTTAATATATGTGATAAAAATGCTTTTAGGCTATTTTCCTCCCAAGAATTTCACTGAAAGATTCGGCTCCTTCCAGAACGTTTTAAAAAAAGAAATAATGAATGGAAATTTTCATATTGCTATAAAGTTGAGAATTGTGTTTGAAGAAGAACCTTGGGATGCTTTCTCTGGGTGTTTAGTTTGTCTGGTGGGGTGTGGTCAGGGCACCTCCAGAACCTCTCCCTGTTGTTGAGTGAGTGGGAGGTTGATGCCTGAGGGAGAGGACGAGAAGGCTAGTAGGTACAAGTCTCCAATAGCACAGAAATTTCTGTTGGGCTAATAGATTCAACCTGTTTCTCCACCAATACTTACTGTTTTTGGTGTTTTAAATTGGACTTTCAAAATAAAAATTAGTTGGCTTGTGGCCTATGTAGTAAGTATCAAATCAAAAGGTATGGAGGAAGTTGACAGGAAATAACTAAATGTCTCACATTATATAGACTTTTCCTTGAAAACTGGGTGATAAAGATCAATATATTTGCATTCACTTGATGTTCATAAAAATAAACTCATCTAATTTCAACTCATCTGGTCTCTTCCACTCCCATGTTTTCTGTGTCTAGTCTGCATTCCTTAAATTGTAAGAATTAGCACTTTTATATGCTTTTCCTGCATAATGTTTTACCTTTTTTTCTGAATAATAATAGTATGCACAATACATAATTAAAATAAACATATGGTTTCCAATAAAACAAATTCAATTTTCTATGTGATAAAGATGAGAAGCAGAGTTAGTACCAAAATTTTGATAATGGCAAAGCATCTGTTAAACTAATGGTAGGACTTTTTTTTTTTCCTATCTATGGTGGAAAGCTTCTGAAGAGTCTTGTGAAGTATGTACTAGCATCCAGTTATAACAAAGAACTAACATCAATAAGCAAGTTTGCTTTGTGTTATAAAAATATCAAAAGAGTAATAATTTCAAGGTTTCTTTTCCTTTAGAATCTTGCTACCTACCCTTATTCCAAAATATAAAATAATTTTTTCATCAAAATATATCATTGATGATAGCCATGACCAGTTGTTTTGCATCTAAAATTGATTTGACTTGAACGTTAATATTCACTAAGAAAAATTTGTACAAATTCTATCTACATTTCTTTCACACTCTGGAAAACAATTTCAAAACCAAAGCTTGTGAATGCTATATACCTTTCTTTGCAAGGTAAAGATAATCATTGAACCCATAATAGAGTATACCCTGGGGTTGCTTCTTGGTTTAGTAAAACACAATTCTTAGGATAAAATGTTGAACTTATGATGTTCAGAGATAGTAAACATCTTTGACTTCAGCAACATGAAAATTTTGAAAATCAGACTGTTTCCTCAACTGAAAACTTGTGGATGAAACAGATACAACATTTCCAAACTTAGGGTGAGGTTATTCGATTAAAGTACACCACCCAGTGAAGGTGGTGACAGAGCAAAGAGGCCATAGAGAGAGGAAATTGGGTGGTAACTCACTGCAGTTCACACTTGAACTCAGACTGCCAGTGGCTGAGGTCAGCATGAGTGTCTCGGTCAGCAGCAACTCTGCGCGACTGGGCGCCAGTGCTGCCGAGGGCCCAAGTACAAATACAGAAAAGGGTGGAGTCTGAGAGAGCTTCTCAGATATTTGCTTGTACGTTTCACAGATTTCTTCACAAAAGAAAATTGAGAACTGCTTCCAATATCCAAAAAACATTTATAAATATCACCAAGCTACAGATTCAGTAAAGGATTAGGAAGAAGATCACTTTAACACTCAGTTAACTTGTGTGTGCACACGCATGTATCTGTGGGTTTGAAATACATAATAGAAATATTTGCCACATACTCCTACACTGCTCAGAAGTGATGTGTTTCAAATAAACTGAGCAGTGTCTTTCCTTGCTACTCCAGTTAGTCACTACTGGTCTGGGGACGGGGAAAGTTTAGAGGGGAATCTAACACTCTTCACTTATCACCTGAAAGAAGAGTTAGAGATAGAGGTATCCCACCCAATAAACCAAGTTGAAGAGCAGGAATGATGTAGGGAAAAAGACTCGTGAATATGAGTCCAGTTCCAAGATGTCTATGTGAATATGTCCTTTTCTCCAAGATCCTGATTTGCATTCTTCATAGCAGCAGAAGAAACTCTGACAGTCTTTGCCATCCAAACACTCGTAGACACAGGTATCTTCTAATTCCTGCCAGTACATGGAATTGTTTAGAGTAACTGTTACAGGTGGTGGTGGCCTCATGTCAAGGAGAGAATAGTTCTGCAGATAACAAGAGAAACACAAAAATCATCATGAAATGCATCAAAGACAGCTCGAGATGAATCAAGCAATAAACATAGATTATGCCTGTCCACAAATAATGATGACAATGCTATGCCCCATGCCTGCTCCCCCATCCCTGCTATGGAGAGTTCAATCTTTGCAAATCTAATGGAAAAACAAAAAACTAGAGCTCAGTTTTCGAAACTTGTGTTTCTCAGATTACTGATAAGGGAGATTCAGTATTTTTTCAAATGTGTATTAGACATTTCAAGACTCTGTTCTGCCTACTTCTCTGCTGATTTGGAGTATATATGCACACACATTATATGCAATTCTTCAAACGTTAAACAATACTTATATCAACTTGTGGAGAAATAAATTTCTTTCTAATTAGAAGAAAGTAAAAAATGCTATGGTGTATAGGAATGATAAGAGAGAACCTTCTTGGTCCATGTAATTCAGGTTAAAAAATGAACTTTCAGTGTGTGACCACCAGACAATGCTTGTCATCTCTTGACAGTCAAAAATTGTATACAATTGGAATGTTTTGTTTTCTACTTCACAAGCTCTCTTCCTGATGTGGAGAAGTCAATAAGATATCATATATATCATATAATAATTATAATATATCATATATATTTAATATTTAACATATATACTATATTATATATTATATGGTATATATGATATATTATAATATGTAGTTATATATTATATAATATATTATATGTAATATTATATATAGTTATATAATAATTATACAATATATTATGTAATATATAATTATATAAAAATTATTATTAATTATACTATATATTTATTATATATTATATATATAAAACCAAAACCCATAATTACAGGGAATATGGTACCTTTTTCCTTCTACTTCTGGATATTACATTAATTGGCTATTTTTCTAGCTGTGTGGAGCCAAGTCAGAGAGAAGCAAGTAGATGTGTAGAGCATTCAGTGTCACTACTGGTTCCCTTTGGGGCATCCTTTTAATTGGGAAATGTCTGTGTGAGCAGTAACCTAAATCAAGATGCTCTGGGCCAATAGCCAGTCAGGGCCATGGTGCAGCTGTCTACTTTCTTCTACAATTCTAGACAATGGGAAGAAATAAAAACCTCGGTGTCCCTCCAGTTCTAGTGTAGGTACATGTTCTCCAGGTTAATGGTTCTTAAACCTGAGTCGGTGTAAATTTCACCTGGAAATTTGCTGAGAAAAGCAAATTCCTCACTCAATTCTGGTGCATTTGAGGAATTTGTTTCTTTTTGATAATCTCCAATTATAAAAATCTGCTTTTATTAAATAATTGTACACGTGTTTTGACAGTGTTCAGCCAGATTTTCATCCATTTATTTCTTCAACCTTTTTTACCTGTATAGTGTCACACAAAGATGTCCAGCCATTACAAGCAGGCAGGACCAACACGAGGAGCTGACTCAAGATGGGCATCAGAAGTCTCTGCAGGGATGGAGACAGCTCACTACAGATTCAAAGGATGCCCAACGAGGTAACAGGCTAAAAAGCATACGTTTTCTGGGGACAAGGGAGAACTATATACCTCACTTCTTCATTTAGAGAACTAAAATCCATGATCATTGAAACAAATAGTAAGAGATCTCTAGTTATATCTTTATAGCTCACTGTTGTAAAATGACATATTACAATATTGAAATAAAACATAATGTTAAGAACCATAAATAGCCATATGTTAAAAATGTTTAAGTACTTCTTTAAATGAAGTCCTCCCATTTGTCAAGATAATTTCAACTATGCCCCAAGAGAGATTTTAATTAATGAATCTCCAGGGTCGTCTTCAGCCCAGCTAGTCCCTGCCTGACTCACTCCTGTTTTGCTTCTTTGTATAATGCAGTTCCTTGACTTCCTCAGAACCACTGCGCTTCCTGGGCAACAAATACTACTGCATACTCAGAGTGGACTAGCCTTGCATTTTATGGGTTAGGTAACTGAGGCACAGAACTGTTTGGACAACTTGCCCCAAAGCAACATATGACCCTCAGGGGGCCAGCTCCTGCCCCGGTTACTGAGAGGCTGTTCATCTCTGCTTTTCCTTTTTGGGGAGAGTGACCCCTTAACTAACCTAACACTAGATATTTCAGAATAGAACTGAAGACATTATCATCCAACAGTTGAAAAATCCCAGTTTTTTTTTTTTTTTTTTTTTTTTGTCTTTTGAACTCCTGTTGAAGACTCTCTGATTATGTCTTGCTAGCTGGCCTGGAGCCCTTTCTGTGAATTGTTTCTGTATGTGCTTTCTTTAGGGTCATTACATTTTCCAGCTTAAAAATTTCTTCCAGTTTTGTGGCTATTTTTTTTCTCTATGTTAAAACGTTCTTTATTACTTTTGACTGTATCATTTCTATACCGAAGATATCAATATTTCCTCCTCCACTCTTAGCCCCCTGGATGTGTGTGATAATGTATTTTCTGGGCCTCATACTATTTGTTCTGACTTGTCTCTGTTATTTAGCATCCCCTACTTCCACCCCTTCCCATTACCTTTCAGTCTGTTGCTATTTGGCAGCATTTGCTGGCAAAATCTATGTCCACTGTGGCTTCCCACAGCTAAAAAAAAATGGCTTCACCTCTGTCAGAACTATAATGATACATACTAGCAGAGTATAGATAATTATACAATTTCCTGATGAAATTGACTGAAATGAACTGAACATAAGATGCTGATTAGCAGCTAGAAAACCACCTATTGTGTACGGGTGGGCATAAAACATTCAGTGCTATTTGTGACTTCTTATGTACAAAGGAATAAAAATAATTAAAGTAAAAGTTGTCATATGGTAAAAGTGGTAGCTCACGATCAGTGATTTAAAGACATGTTTTTCAATTTTTCAATAGAGTCTTACATCAAGCTATATACTAAAAATTCAGGTAACACTAATAATTAAATACAACAACTTTTTAAACTGTGAAGGTTCGGTCAATACTTATAGGACTTTACTTTTCCACATCTCACTGTCCTTGTCAGTAGAGTGGGTTTTTGTGAGCATAGAATGAGTTGATAAATGAAAGTATGTAGAAAATGTTGTCAAACAGAGCTAGCACTCAAAAGAAAGTCAGGGAGAGCTATGTCGTTCTGAAAATAGGAAAGGACTTCCAAGCAGGACACAAGAGGCAGATGCCACAAAAGGAAATATTGATAGATTTGACAACAGGAGTTTGAAGACACTGCATGTGGAAAAAAGCACAAGAAATTGCAGTGACAGCATTACTAATGAAATCTGTAATAAAAACTTCATAAAAAATTAAAAAAAACTTCATAAAAAATCAGATTAATATCCCTAATATATTCTATATGTGATTACATAAATTTTACATTGTATAGAATACAATAAGTATAACTGGCAGATTGCTACCTTAAAAAACTTAAAGGATAAAAATGTTATAAAAATTGTACAAAAAAATTTATAAAAACTAATGGACAGAAAAAGCAATTCACAGGAATATGTGAAAATAAAAAATAAACAAATAAAAAAATGCATTAAACTTTATCAATAATCAAAGCAATGCCAGTAGGAATAGTTTGTAGCAGTTGTTTGTATATTCAACTATCCAAATAAATGCAGGGAGAGTGACCCACATTGAGCAGTGAGTGACTCACACTGCTAACAAAACTGCTGGAATGCGATTTGGAAAAAAACATTCAACTCTTTGGCCCAGGCATTCTGCTTCTAGGAATTAATACTAAGAAAATAGTCACAAGTATGTACAAAACTGTAGTGATAAAAATATGTTTAAAAGTGAAAAGTTGTGGATTAGCCCAGTGTACAGCCAAGATCATCTGTGCATGCATCAGTCATGAAAGTATGATGCAATCATCAAAATGATCCTACAAATTAATATTTTGACCAAGAAGTGTATTCAGAACATAATTTTGAGTTACAGAAATATGTATGCTATACACTAATCCCTGAGTAGAAGTGATTTATTTTCCAAATTTCCTAAGTTGAACATTCCTTTGTAAATACATTTTTTTAGGGAGTACATGCATTACTCTTTGGACTTCAATAGATGCATCTGTAAACAATAATATTTTTCAATTGCATTTTACACAGAGTTCTCAGAAGTATTTACACTTGCAAGGCTATACGTACAGAGGGGGCTTGTAGGCTTATCCTTTCGTGAATCCATCTTGAGGAATCTGCATGTAGTAACTACAAGGAAAGCAGAAAAAACAACTGAAAACTGCCATGGAATTTGTATTACAGAACACTCTGATAAAGAATAATCTTTAAGGTGTGATTACATCAGTCCATGCCACTGGTAGGTGAAGCTGAAGACTGCTTGACAGTCACATTCATATCTTCTGAATACCTATCTTGTTTTTTAAAAGTCTTATTAAATTAACTATTTATATCATGTTGTATAAAATCCTTATGATAAGAACCCTTTACCTCAAAATATTCTTCTACTACCTTCTGAGAAAATCTTTGCTACTGGAACTCACCGATGTTTTTTTCTTAGTGGTAGTTGGTTTTCTACAACTTGAATAGTAGTTGAGGGTAGCATACTCCATCAGAGCAGCAAAGACAAATAAGAAGCACACAGTCACGAAAAGGTCCATGGCAGTCACATAGGAAACACGGGGCAAGGACTTCCTGGCTATGGTGCTGAGTGTGGTCATGGTCAGTACTGTGGTGATGCCTGCACAGGGGACACATACCAAGTTGTAAAAGAAGCCAAACAGAATCCCTCCATTCCACATGGTGTTTTATTTTTATGTGAATCTTCCTTCTTGACATTGAGTAAATGTCAATACTTTTAACTTTTAACTGTAATGTATATATAATATTACAAGCAACATTTCCATAATACGTTTTATTATAGTCTCCACAATAACATTAAAATATATGAATTAAGTTGATATCATTCCATTTATTCAGTAATTTTTGTATTGTTTGACATTTTGTCTTTTAAATATATTTTCAATGAAAGTGAGGCTTGCAGTCCCCTATACTTCGGCTGTTCCTCATCTCACACTTTTCTTCTGCCCAGGTAAACTATTTCCTGTCTTACTTCTCTTTTTGTATGCAATTTGTAAACTCACTTTTTTTGAAGACTCAGCAGAAACACCACTTTTTCTGAGGCAAATCACTTTATAGTACTCCAGGCAGAGCTGATAATACACACATCTTCACTGTTCCTATACATTCTACGTGCCTCATTTTTTGCATTATCATGGAGAATTTCATACGTCTTTGTGGTCTGTCTCCCTGAATAGAATGTGAGGTCTTTAAAAGCAAAACTGTATCTTGCTCATCCTTTCTTGCCCATTACATAGCACCATGTCTAGCATTCTAACCATTTCAATAAAAGCTTTTTATGAGTGCATGAATTCATTGGTTAACTAGTTAACTAATCACAGTATTAATCTGACTTTATTTCATATATGTTGGCCAACACTAAAGATTTAATCAAAGACTGTGGAGCAAATGTAAGAGATATATATGCGATAGAAAGATCAGGTAGACATGACAGATGAATGCACATTAGTTCCCATCTTTGCAGTAGCATCACAGCTCCTATTTAGTGCCTGTTTAGTGGTCTGTCAATCAGCAAGAAACTGTAGAACAAGTCAGATAGAGCAGCATGAGTAGCTTGAGGTGTACAGGATATTGAACTAGAAGTCAAAGCCTTCAGCCTTGCTCTGGGCCTTCTCAACATTTTGTAAGATAAAGCTGTTTACCCTCTTTGAATCACTTTCTTTAATCAGTACAGTGAAAACAGAATGTCAGGCTCTCCTTACTGCAGGTGGGAAAGTTGCAAATTTGAAAAGTGTACACTGATGGCAGGTAAATTTTTATGAAAAATATAGATTTTGTAATAAATATTCAATTTAACATTTTCAAAAATGTGGTGACCATGTTACGTCTAAAGAATTTGTAGGTAGGGCTTCCCTGGTGGCTCAGATGGTAAAGTGTCTGCCCGTAATGAGGGAGACCTGGGTTTGATCCCTGGGTTGGGAAGATCTCCTGGAGGAGGAAATGGCAGCCTACTCCAGTATTCTTGACTGGAAAATTCTACGAACAGAGGATACTGGTAGTCTACAGTCCACGGAGTTGCAAAGAGTCGGACACTACTGAGCGACTTCACTTTCACTTTCATTTTCAAGAAAATTGCGTTTTTACTAAATTTCTTAAAAAATTTTAAAAGTTGATTCCTTTTCTCTTTTCATTTTGAGTATCAGCTGAAGTTGTGTTATACACCTCTATATTGTCCCACAGACCACTGAGGCTCTGTTAATTCTTTTAAATCATTTTTTAATTCATATCTTCTTCTAATTAGATAAATTTTATGTGATGGTCAATTGTACATGATCTCTCCCCTCCCTGGCATCTTCAGTCTGCTCTTAAGCTCATTTAGTGATTATTTTCAATTTGACTATTATACATTTTATTCTAGAACTTCATTTTTAAGAAATGTATTTGTTGATATTAGCCATCTGGTCATTCACTAACATTGTATTTTCTTTTTAATCCTTGAACCCTGTTATAAAAGCTGCTTTAAAGGCCATATCTGCTGATTCGACATCAGAGTTACATTTTAATGTTGACTTTTTTTCTTGATCATGGATCACAATTATCTGCTTCTTAGAAAGTCTAGTAATTTTTTACTGTATAGACAATATTGTAGATGATACACGATGGACTATGTCATTTTTTAAAAGAATGTTGAATTCTTCCTTATAATAAATAGTTGGTTTACTGGTGGTTTTGCTTGATATTGTCATGGCATGATTTGTTTCATTTAAAGGAAGTCTAGAGTATTCCTTTATTAAGCAGAGCCCTTCAGGTGTCTCAATTAAATATACTAGTGTTGAGATTTCTCCACTCTTCTGGTCAGCAAATCTACTACCTGCAAGCGTGTCATATTTCTAGTATCTCTGTTCTCTTAATGCCATGATGGCTACTCTTTGATAGGACTTGCATAGTTTCAAGTTGTGCAGACATATTACTCTGTTTTGAAGCTGATCTTTAAAGTCATATTCACTATGACAACTGAATTTGTCATTGTGAGGTCATAACCTCAAGAATAGTTGCTAAATTTATGTTATGTCTTGGTCAGCTGATTTATCATGTATTTTCTATAAGAATGAAAAACCAACACTGGGCAGAAAGTCAGTTCAGTTCAGTTCACTCAGTAGGGTCCAACGCTTTACAGCCCCATGGACTGCAGAACATGCCAGGCTTCCTAGTCCATCACCAGTTTTCAGAGCTTTCTCAAACTCATGCCCATTGAGTTGGTGATGCCATCCATCCACCTCGTCCTCTGTTGTCCCTTTCGCCTCCTGCTTTCAATGTTTCCCAACATCAGGGTACTTTGCAATGAGTCAGCTCTTCACATCAGGGTACTTTGCAATGAGTCAGCTCTTCACATCAGGAGCTTCAGCTTCAGCATCAGTCCTTCCAATGAATATTCAGGGCTGATTTCCTTTAGGATTGACTGGTTTGATCTTCTTGCAGTCCAAGAGACTCTCAAGAGTCTTCTTCAACACCACAGTTCAAAAGCATAAATTTCTTGGAGCTCAACTTTATTTATGGTCCAATTCTCACATCCATACATGACTTCTGGAAAGACCATAGCTTTGACTAGACAGACCTTTGTTGGCTAAGTAATGTTTCTGCTTTTTATTTATTTTTTTCAGTTAGTTTATTTATTTATTTATTTTTATTTTTACCATTTATTTTATTAGTGGGAGGCTAATTGCTTTACAATATTGTAGTGGTTTTTGCCATACATTGACATGAATCAACCATGGATTTACATGTGTTCCCCATCCTGAACCCCCCTCTCGCCTCCCTCTCCACCCGATCCCTCTGGGTCTTCCCAGTGCACCAGCCCTGAGCACTTGTCTCATGCATCCAGCCTTAGCTGGTAATCCATTTCATCCTTGATAGTATACTTGTTTCAATGCTATTCTCTCAAAACATCCCACCCTCGCCTTCTCCCACAGAGTCTAAAAGTCTGTTCTATACATCTGTGTCTCGTTTTCTGTTTTGCATATAGGGTTATTCTTACCATCTTTTAAAATTCCATATATGTGCGTTAGTATACTGTAATGATCTTTATCTTTCTGGCTTACTTCACTCTGTATAATGGGCTCCAGTTTCATCCATCTCATTAGAACTGATTCAAATGAATTCTTTTTAATGGCTGAGTAATATTCCATAGTGTATATGTACCACAGCTTCCTCATCTGTTTTTTAATATGATATCTTGGGTGGTCATAGCTTTTCTTCCAAGGAGCAAGTGTCTTTTAATTTCATGGCTGCGGTTACCATCTGTAGTGATTTTGGAGCCCAAGAAAAGAAAGTCTGTCACTGTTTCCAGTATTTCCCCATCTATTTGCAATGAAGTGATGGGACCCAATGCCATGATTTTCTTTTTTTGAATGTTGCATTTTAAGCCAGCTTTTTCACTCTCCTCTTTCACTTTCATCAAGAGGCTCTTTAGTTCCTCTTTGCTTTCTGCCATAAGGGTAGTGTCATCTGCATATCTGAGGCTATTGATATTTCTCCTGGCAATCTAGATTCCAGCTTGTGCTTCATCCAGCCTGGCATTTCACATGATGTACTCTGTACAGAAGTTAAATAAGCAGGGTGACAATATACTTGTATATATGCCTTGACATACTCTTTTCCCAATTTGCAATCAGTCCTTTGTTCCATGTCTGGTTCTACTGTTTCTTCTTGACTTGCATACAGATTTCTCAGGAGGCAGATAAGGTGGTCTGGTATTCCCATTTCTTTAAGAATTTTCCACAGGACTGAGGATATTAAAGGCTAATTTATCTTGTTAAAAAGTACTGTGCTGTTAAACAAACAAGAATTAAAAACCAACAGAAGTGGTGCAATGTAATATACAAGATTTTGCAGGGTTTTTTTATATTGAGGTAGCTTTATTTCCAAAAGAAATTGTGAGAGTGCTGGTGGAAAGAACTATATATCATACATTATTAACAAATCAAAATATAGAAAGTTAGGCAAAATTCCTACCATAAAGAAAAATTGACATAAAACATGCACTACAAATCTAAAACTCCTGAAATTTAGTGTTTGATTAAGAGAACTTTGGGTACCAGAGAAAAATTTATGAAAAGATTTTGAGCTTTAATGTGTAAATTATAGCTGAAAAGAATAATAATTTTCTTGTTTGCTGGTAAATTTGCTCTAGACAAGCAGTACCTCTTTTATTGAAAGATTGTTTTACTGATTTGGTCATCAATCCTCAAAGGTTCTATTTCCATTCACTGACCTAATGAGACTTCTGAGTGTGTCAGGTTTCAGAACATGACTACATTTTTAATGACATCATCCGTAGAGCACAGTACAGAATGATGCAATTGATTTATTTTGAATACCTAACCTCAACTTAAGTGGTACACATGAAATTTTGTCAGGAAGAAAAATCTAGCTCGTCTATTTAAAAATAAATAAAATAATCAAGTAGCCCTCAAATTAGATCAGTTACATTTGAACTGAGCCTTTTTCATTGAAAGTATTTTTATGAATATAGTTCTATATTAAAATTACACAAAATTGTAGGAGACTTTTTTGAAACTCACCTAATGCTGTTCTTGCTGGTGTAGCATCTTTTTTGATCCAGAATGATACCCAGGATAAAACCACAGTCAGTATACAAGGAATATATGTTTGAATAGTGAAGTATCCCATTCTTCTACTCAATTCAAAATATATAGTCATGACAACATAATCACCTGTAATGAAGTATTGCCAAAATTAACACAACTTTCTTGTGTTAAAATAATTCAAGGAAATAATTTATAACTTATTTTGTTAAATGAATGACTTGATAAAAGTATTCAAGTACAGCATTTATCAAATTGGGGAAAGAGTCAAAATTCTGGTGCTTTGAAACTTAATTTTTATTATATCCATGGCTGTGTGAAGTATTTTACTGTAAAAGACAGAAAAAGATACATATTATTTGATATGTGTGATAGACATGCACATTTATTCTATGCCATTATTCTACACCATTTATTCAGGCCATTACTCAGTGAGCTATTATCACTTCTGTCTAGCTGTATTGTACATGTTTAGGAACAAGGATAACAGAAAACTCACCCCTCAAGTAGCTTCATTCTTGGTTTGCTCTTTCAATAGTAACAGACCTATACATAAACTTTCATATCTAAACTTCTCTAACAAATTTATATTTCCATTTTTGCAGTATAAATTCAAGTTTATCAGTCACTATAATGCTTTACTTAATATCTTTATATTTATCTTATCCTTTCATGATTATTCAGAAAATAAACAGAAGAAATCATTTTATGGACACTATTTCCTCTTTACTAAAGCAAAGCCACACATAAAAGAGTTGGGATTCATACAGATGTTACTGGAAATTTCGTAAGATTCCATGAGGGGCTGGGAGAGTGTGCATGCCTAATACATTGTTTATTTTATTCCAAAGTTGCCTCTACCCATGTCTTTTCTAGGTGATCTTCTGAAGAATTGTGTCTCTCTCCTTCCTCCCATTTGACCTCCATCCTTCAACCTGCTGGATTCAACCTTCTGGCACCTGAAATTCACGATGACCAGAAATGAGCTGTTATCTCTATCACACCGATACCTTCTCTTAGTTTAGGCCCTCCTTTCATTTATACAAAGTGGGAACCTAGAAACCATTTCTGATTCATTTCCCCTTCTTCAACTTCTATATATCCCCCAGTTCCTCTTCCTACCTAGCCCATGTACTATTTACCAAAGCCCCTGGCTTGTCTCATAACAACCTTCATTACTCTGGATCATTCTCTGTTCTGTCACCAAAAGAATCTTTCCAGAACACAGCATCTTGCTACTCCTGTACAACCATCAAAACTTTATAATGGAGAGAATAAGATGGTGAAGGAGTAGGTGGACATGGAGTGCATCTCCCTCCATGGATACATCAGGAATACACCTTCAGACACAGAAGTGCTTGCAGAACACCAGCTGCGAGTGGGCAGGAGCACCTGACCAGTGGAAAATAATATATAGAACCAGATAAAACTCAGTAGAATGAAGGAAGTAGGGAGAAAAAGAGAAGAGTTAGTAGGACTGGACCTGCCCCTGGCAGGTAGGGGAACTGAAGCAGGGGGTTGATCTCCACATTGGGGCAACTGTTTGGGACAGAGGAGAAATAGTTGAGGCTGAGTGTGAAGCAGCTGGTCTGTGACAGTCTAAATGGAATGGGAGTCACGCAGACAATCCTTGCCACAGCCATACATACCCCAGTCAGGGAAGTGGGTCCCTTAGAAGGCACAGCAGCTGGGAGCTGGAGTGTGGGGATTGTAGAGGGATCCAGGGGGAGGTCTGCTGTTGATGGTGGGGAGACGGCCTGAGGGGACAGGCGGGAGGAGACTGTGGTGGGAAATGCCTGTGGAGGAAAGCCAGGCCGCCTTGGAGGCAAGGTGATACTGCTGAGTCTGTAGGGTGGGGCCATCCCTTAGCTTCTCTCTCCCACAGGCCAGCACCTGGCAGCTGAACAACAGAGAGGCTGGCCCTTCAAGCCCCTGACAGTGCTGAGCAAGAGAAGGACCCAAGTCAGGGCACCCTCTAAAGGCCTGAAAAAGTGGGGCAATGGAGAAGGACTAGCCGGACAGCACCACCTTCCAGAGGCTAGAAGACTCTGAAAGGGCCAAAGCTCCTGTAGTTGAGGCAGTCTGTGTCCCTACACACTTGGTGCCACTGTGCCACCCTCATGTTCAGCCCTCACTGGGGCAGAGCTGCCACAGACTAGAAAAAGCTCTAATAACACCATGTCTACTGTGACAATAGACATCAGTGCTCCTGCATAGCCGGCATTGCCAGGGTCCCTGTGATCCAAGCAACCGCGCCACCTCCATGCATGATCCCTACTGGGAAAGAACTGCCAGAAGCTAGAAAGAGTCCTGCATCTATGCAAACGGGGTCACCTTGGTCGCATCCAACTCTTTAAGACCCTGTGGACTGTGGTCTGCAGCCTTTTCTGCCCAGGAGATTCTCCTGGCAGGAATACTGGAGTGCATTGCCATACCCTTCTATAGCACGATATTTCCTGCTGCCAGCTCTCTTGAGTACCTGGTGCTGCCATGGCCCCTGTGACCTAAGCAGCTGTACCAACTCCACACCTGGCCCTCACTGGGGCAGAACCAAGTCCTTCAGGGCATACTCAGGAGCAGACTCTTCTGGATGACCCACATCCAGAAGTAGAGATAAAGCTATAGTTGAAACCCAGGGTCAGTGTGGCTAAGGAAGAAGACCTGAAACCTTCCCACCCACTGTACAAACTAGATTAAATCCACACAATCAACTAGGAAGACTGTCTGTGGAATATGTAAAAGGATAATGAGAGTTCTCACAAAAGAAAATGCGCTAGTTCTGACACCTGTGGACATTGAAGGCAAGAATACACAGGAATAGGACCAGATTAGAGTCTGAGCAGACCCCACAGCAGGTCCAGAGACCAGCCCAGTGTTGAAAGGCATCCTAGGGAGGTAAGGTGGACTGTGACTCCCAGTGAGGGAATGGGTGCTGACAGCAGAGACCCAAGAAAAATATTTTTTATATTTTGACTTGTTCTGTAGCTGCTTCTGGATGTTCCTCCTGCCCCCTTTTCATTCTGTTGTTGTAGTTGATGGTTTTTACTAGTACTATTAAATCTATTTAAACTTTAGAGAATTTTTTTAAAATCACACTTTTTATTTCTGTTATATACTTCTGCCTCTGCATTAGCCTTTTGTAGTTCTGTGGGATTTTCCTTTTTTTTTTTTTTTACTTTTTCTTCTCTCTTTTAAAAATTTTTTAAGGTTTATTGTTATTTTTTTCCACATTTATTCCTTTGTTTGTTTTTCCTACTGTTCTTTTCCCATTGTAGTTAATCTTTACTGTATATAAATCTTCTTTATCTACTTCTGCTTAGCTTTGCATTTATATTCTTTGTTTCTTTTCCTCACCATATTTGTCAGTTTATTTTATTTTTGTTGTTTTATTCCCCAGTTGGCACCTTACTTTAGTTCCGTTTTCCAGTTTGCAATTTAGTTAGTTTTATTCTTAATTGGTGGATATAATTTTTTATTTCCTTTGTTTGCAAGGTCATTCTATTATACTTTATTTATCTTTTTTGTGCTTTTGGTTTTGCTTATGGGTGTGTATATATGTGTGTGTACATTCCATTATTTTAGTTATTATTTACCTGATTTTGTAATTGCCATTTATCTGGGATGCACCTTTTGCTTCTCAGTTTTGTATGTTTGTTTTAATACCATTTACTGCCGTAACAAACCACCTGTGGAATCTCTGTTCCTGGCCAGAGCCCAGGCCCTGAGACTTTGGAGTGGGTGTGCTGACTCCAAGTCCATAGATTACCAGAGAACTTCTGACCCTAGGGAATATCAAATAGTGAGAACACCCACAAAGGCAACCACTTGTGTGCAAGACCTGGCACCACCCAACTGCCAGTGGCACCCTGTGCAGGACGCCTCATTCAAACAGCAAACAAGATGAGAAGACAAACCCAACCATCAGCAGGCAGGGTTATCACCTCACCCAGCCATGCCCATCAAAGGGAACACAAGCGCAAGTCACAGCCTACCTGAAACTTACACAAACCACTGGACCAACCTGACGAGGGCAAAAACCAAAAGGAAGAAAGAATTCAACATCAGAGCCTGGGAAAAGGAGGCCTCAAACATGATAAGTTAAAAATAAATAAATAATGAAAAGGTAGAGAAGTAATGTGCAAATGAAGGAATGATCTAGAAACATGTAAGTCCAAATAAATAAAGAGGAAATAGGCAGACTACCTGAGAAAGAATTCAGAATAATGATAGTAAAGATGATCCAAAACCTCAAAAAATAAAATGGAGAAAATGCAAGTATCAATTAACAAAAACCTATTAAAATAAAAGAACAAACATACAGAGACAAACAGCACAATTACTGAAATTTAAAATGCTCTTGAAGGAATCACTAGCAGAACACCTGAGGCAGAAGAATGGAAAAGTGAGCTGGATGATAGACTGGTGGAAATAACTGCTGAAGAGCAGAATAAAGTAAAAAGAATGAAAAGAACTGAGGATAGTCTCAGAGACTTCTGGGACAATATTAATTGCACCATCATTCAAATTATAGGGGTCCCAGTAGAAGAAGAGAAAAAGAAAGAGTATGAGAAAATTTTTGAAGAGATTATAGTTGAAAATTTACCCAAATTGAGGAAGGAAATAGTCAATCAAGTCCAAGGAGCATAAAGTATTCCATACAGGATAAACCCAAGGAGAAACACACCAAGACACATACTAATCAAACTAACATAGATAAAACACAAAGAAAGAATACTAAAAGTGGCAAGAGGAAAACAACAGGTAACATACACGGGAAACTCCATAGATTTAACAGCTGATCTGTTGGCAGAAACTCTTCAGGCAAGAAGGGAATGTCAGGTTACATTTAAAGTACTGAATGGGAAAAAAATCTGCAACCAAGATTACTCTACCTGGCAAGGATCTCATTAAAAATTGATGGAGAAATCAAAAGCTTTACAGACAAGCAAAAGTTAAGAGAATTTAGTACCACAAAATCAGCTTTACAAGAAATGTTAAAGGGACTTATAAAGTCAGGAAATATAAGAGAAGAAAAAGATCTATAAAAATAAACCCCAAACAATTAGGAAAATGGCAATTGTAACATATATATTAATAATTACTTTAAATGTAAATGGATTAAATTCTCC